TGGGTTGGGTGATGCATATGATAGTTGGGGTGGACACTTAGTAGGTGGTACCCATTCTGGTCCTAACAGCTTACTAGGACCAGGCACCTCCTACAGCCTTCTGTATGTTGCAACCACATAATGCTTTTCAGCTCTAACACACAATGGTCTATGCTGGAAACTCCCTTCCCACTCTAATATTCTTTTTCCCAAGCTATAACACCCTGTGTTAATAGGTTCTAAGTTCCCATCCACTCTTCTGTTCTATGTTCTAAGGTTCTCTCCAGTCCTGTTTTGCTGTGTTCTAAGGTGCCTTCCAGCTCCCACATTCTATGCTTCTCATGCTAAAGATTCCTTCTAAGGCTGACCTTTCTGGGTGCTAACTGCTAGAGACATCATTTGGATACTATGTCATCATTTCCTTTCTCCGGGAACTGATGGTGCTTATGGGATGAGTGAATCATTGGCGATTGTCATAATCCCCAAGCACTTTGTTTGTGTTGACTAGTTCGAACATGCACAAAATTAGGGTTAAAAGGTATGTGTACATGTATGAATATGTCCCATACAGGATGATTTACCCCCAGGCTCATACCTCCCTGGGATGACCCTGTTTAGTCTGAGTGGAGGGAGCTGGAAAAGAGGAGAGAATAAACATTTATTAAGCACCTACTATGTGACAGGCACAGCGCTGACCATTTTACAATTGCTATCTCATTTGGTCCTTATAACAACCCTAAGGGTAGGTGCTGTTATTATGCCCATTTTACAGATGAAGAAACGAAGCAGGCAGAGGTTAAGTGACCTGCCCGGGTTACAGAGCTAGTCTGAGTTCTTCCTGACTCCAGACCCAGCACTCTACCACTGTCCCTGATCATTTGATGCACTGCCCTCATTTGAGAAGCAGGCTGACTTGTCAACCGTCATATGATGAGTTAAGGGCAGAGTCCCAGCCTCCCCAAACACCAGCCCAGGGCTCTGCTTATAAAGGAGGAAATGATGAGACAGCCAGTCAGCCAATAAGCCTTCATTAAGCACCTACTCTGTTCCAGGCACTGTGTCGAGCTGTACAAGAGCATTCTGACTTTGGAGTCGGAAGGCTGTGGGTTTGAATCTCAGTCCTGCTACATTGCTACTTGTGCAACTTAAGGCAAATCGTCTCATCTCTCTGGACCCCATTTTGCTCACCTGTAAAATGACAGGGTCAGATTCTATTACCTCCAAGGTCCTTCTAGCTCGAAATCCTAAAAAGAAGGAAATGGGAAATATGTGGCATAGTGAAGAGTGCAGCTGGTGCCTAACCTGGCAACGAGTAAATCTGGCTTTGGGTTCAGATTCTGCTACTCTTTTTCCTTTGGCTGGTTCCCTTTTCTTCATCTCAATTTCTTCTTCTGCCCAATAAGAGAGTTGGACCGGACGATCTCTACGGGTCCCTTTATCTCCATCTCTGTTTCTGTTCTTGACCTGGGTTTTGGGAGACCTCCCCCACTGGAGGACCTGACCCAGGGAGAGTTCAAACGCAGGCTGGGATCGAACTTGGCACTCCAACTGACTTGCTCTGCAAAACCGATCGCACATCTATTTTCTATCACGAGGCTGCTGGAGATGTGCCTCCAGCCTGTCATGGTAGGCAAATCCCTGGCTCCACAGAGGCTGAGATAGGCCGGACCCCTGCATTGTCCAAAAGAGGAGCTCTGCAGGTTGGCACCCAGAGGGCTGATGCAGGCAAAGCTCTCCTCTTCTTGCCTATGCCCTGGACAATCCAAGCCCAGCCAAATGTGAAAGCTAATGAAATAATTGCCCTGAGACACAATGGCCAGTGAGCATCAGCTGAACTGGGTATTCACGGTGGGTTTAATCCGGCATTCTCCACTCGCATCGTGCTGGAACGATTTTTGTAACCTATCTTGGCACCAGGCACCCCCAGGGCAGTATAAATGCCACCTCCCAGCTGGAGGCCCTTCATGGGCAGGAGCGGGTACTGGTATTGCTGGTAAGAGCTTCTCTCTTCTGCTTTTCTCTCATTCTGGTTGCTGGATGGAAAATCATTGGTCACCATTTCAGAATGGGCCAGAGGTGAAGGGACTCTGGGGGCACAAGAAAACAGAATGGTGGAGGGGGAAGAGCACTGGAGTTGGGGGCAGAAGTGCTGGGTTCAAATCCTAGCTTGGATATTAACTACATGACTTTGGGCATGTCATTTCCCCTCTTTCAGCCTCAGTTTCCTCCTCTGTAAAACAAGAAAATCAGAATAGATACCCTTTAAATTCCCATCCAATTCTAAAAATCCTATAAGGTATCTTTTTTTGGAAGGGAAAGGGACAAGGCAAGGTTAAAAAATAAAGAAACTAGGTTTTTGCTGCAGATACTGGGCTGGTAAATGTTCTCAGATCTCTAAGTCAGTTCTGATTAAAGATTCTAAATAACAAGTAGACTCATAAGTGGGGCCATTGTCAATGGATAGAGAAAGTCTTTGGGAGTAAATCCTGAAGGTTAGGGTTATGAACGGAGGTAGCTAAGTAGCACAGTGGGCAAGGGCATTGGACTTGGAGTCAAGAAGACCTGAATTCAAATCCTGCCTCATCTGAGGCACTTGGCTCTGTGACCCTGGGCAAGTCATTTAACCTCTGTTTGCCTCAATTACCTCATTTGTAAGATGGAGGTAATAATAGCACCTACCTTCCAAGGTTGTTGTGAAGATCAGATGAGATGACACATTGTTAGTACTTTGTAGACCTTAAAGCATTGTATAATTTATTATTCATTATCTAATTATATTATATTAATGTAAATTATTATTAATATTATTATTATGCCAGTTAGCTGGGCAAGGAAGGACGGGGATCTCTCTATAACAAAAAGGGAACTAAGACTTTGGGCTCATCCCCTTGGATTGTTTTAATTTCTTCTCTGATGGCTGCTCCAGATGGCCGATGAGAAAGTGGTTTCTGAAAGGCAGAATTTTGCTTTGAAGTGACTAAGGAACTTTGGGGCCATGAGGTAGGGAGATGTATGAAGATCAAGGAGAGAGAAAGACAGATTCTTTGGGGCAGGGGTTCTGAACCGTTTGTGAGTGATGGACCCCTTTGACTGTCTGGTTCAGTCTAGGAAGCCCTTCTCAGAATGATGCAAGCAACAAAATTTGTAAGATTTCAGAGGAGGTTAGAGGCTAAGGAAAACAAAAATGCCATGTTTTTCCAATCTAAGTTCATAGACCCCCTACAGTGACCCCCTCTCTTTGAGAATCTGGGGGACCTCAGGTTAAGAACCCCTCCATTAGGTAAATAAAGCTGGCTCCTGAGGATGCTTTTGAAATCTCAATCTCTTTCTATTTTTTGCTCTTCAGGGCAGACTAGGCTCTATGCAGAGGCAGAGTCTTCCTGGGAGGTGGATTTTGAAGGTCAGGGGGCTGGCTGTCCATTCATCGGAACACAATATTCCCACAGTGGGAAATTTCACCACTAGAGTCCCAAAGGCCTTCAAGAATGCACTAATAAAACATAAATGTCTCTAGGAGGCATAGCAACCATTAGTATCACTTTGGGTGAGGGAAGATTGCCCTATAGAGACCTGGAGAGGTGTCCAGGGTAGCGAGAAGGAAATAAAAGGGACCAGAGAAAGGAGCAGTTCCCTGGAGCAGAAGGAGGAGAGAGAAAAGCTGCATGGGGGAGAAGTGTCCTGGAGAGGCAGGAGAAGTGAGGAGGGCTGGTTGGAGAAGAAGGGAGGGCACAAACAGGGAAGAAGGAAGGATCCCAAAGCCCAAATCTGCCCTCTCCAGGGACCCCACCATATACCACACAGTTCTAAGAGAGAGTGTTTTTTGGTGTAATGAGTAGGAAAGCTAGAGTAGGATGGAGGATGGATGTCCTTAGAGGACATCATTTTACAGGTGAGGAGACTGAGGCACAGATAGGATAAGTGACTTTTGCCACAACTGGGATCTGTCTGAGATGGAATTCGAACTTCCTAACTCCCAGTCTACTGCTCCACGCTGATGCACATTAAAATATAGCTTGATAGCAGTTCTGCATACTACACGAATGAGCTAGTGTATGACTCAGTGGTGGATAAAGAGAATAAGATCAGAAGCAACATTAAGAGAGGCAGAGCATCCCAGAATAAGGAGGTCTTAGTCTCACTGTGCTCTGCCCTGCTGAGACTCTCTCTGGAGTTCTGCGATCAGTTCTGGGGGCTCTGTGAGAGGAAGGATGCTGATAGGCTGGGGGAGCGCCCAGAGGAGAGGGCAGTCATCCATCTGATGAAAAGCCTAACGTTCATGGCTTCTCAGTAACGAGATTGTTTATTGTTGTTCACTTGTTTCAGTTGTACCCAACTCTTTGTGACCCCGTTTGGGGTTTTCTTGACAGAGATACTGGAGTGGTTTGCCATTTCCTTCTCCAGCTCATTTTTACAAATGAGGAAACTGAGGCAAACAGAGTGAAGTGACTTGCCCAGGGTCACACAGCTAGTAAGTGTCTGAGACTGGATTTGAACTCAGAAAGATGAGTCTTCCTGATTCCAAGCCCAGTGCTCAATCCACTGTGCCACCTAGCAGCCCTGAGGTTGTTTAACTTGCAGAAAGGGGAGACACGCTCATTGTCTTACAGGTTTTGAAGGTCTGTTACAGGAAAGAGGAATGAGTTTCATTCAGTTTGGTACTGGTGGCAGAACTAGGAGCCGTGGCCTGAAGTGAAAAAGAGACAATTTGGGCTGGACCGCTGGGAAGAATTGCCCCTAAGGGGTCTGGGCTGCCTTGGGAGAAAGTAATTCCCTGATCACTGGAGGTTTCCAAACAAAGTCTAGGTGACTCTTGTCTGGTAGATGGTGGAAAGCATCCTTTTTTTCAGGGCTATACCAGATGGCTACTGAAGTCCTTTTTCAAGTTAAGAAGTATGGGATTCTAGAATTCTGACTGACTGCAGAGAATCTTTCTCCGGGCTGCAGAAATCTGCCCAGATTTTGTTTGTTTTGGGGAGGGGGAAAGGTTCCTAACTGCCTCTTCTTGTTTCTACTCTCTTCAGCTTCCATCCTGAGTGAGACCATGGCATCAGACTACCAGACTCAGTCCTCTAAACCGCAGCCCCTCAATCCCAAGGTTGGTATATCCTTAAGCATGTTTCTTGGGTCATGATTCTAGCTAGCTCACTTTTCTGATCTGAGCCTTGGTTACCTCCTCTGTGAAGAGAGGTATTGAAATAAAGCAGGGGTTCTTAACCTGGTAATTCATGCTAAGGCTTTAATAACTTGTAGACTCACCAAATGTCAGGGTTGGGTGGGACCTTAGAGCTTATGTAATCCAAATCTTTCATTTTACAGAGAAGGAAAACTAGGGCCCCTGAGGGGAAGTGACTTGTCCGAGGTCACACAGCTACTAAGTGGTGGAGCCAGGGTTGGAGATGAGGCGTCCTGATTGCCCTTACCCAGCTCTCTTTCTACTTCCTGCCTCAGTAGAGAGAGTAGGCAAAGGAAGGAGGAGAGGGACAGGGAAGGCTATTTGGTGAGCCCTGGGTGAGGGAGGTTTTCTAGAAGGTGATGGGGGGCAGGGACATATTTCCAGGTGATATGTGTGTGTGTGTGTGTGTGTGTGTGTGTCTATGCAAGGGCGCACATATGTATGTTTGTATGTATTGTGTGTGTGCTCATATGCATGTGCCTACCCAAATTGGGGAAGGTGAGTGGATGGCCTCCAGACTTCCCTCTGAGGAACAAAATGTTCATCAGATTCTCAGATTCTTCCTTGGACAAAGCTGTGGCGCCCCACCCACTCCCAGCTCCACTCCCCATTGGCCCCAGTCGGGGGCAGGACAATTGTCCTTCTTTTTGCCGTGATTAGGTCATGGAGTGCTGGGTTGGTCCAAGATGCTAATCTTATCCAGTGACTGGGGAGGCCCAGCTGAGCCTGCAGAATCATCCACCGAGCGGCAGATAGCCCCTTACCCTCTTCCTCCTCCACTCTGCTGTTTCTTCAGGAGGATGAGAGTGAAGGCAGTTCTTGGAGTATGCTGATGCCAGGGGTCTCCTGGTGAAGTCCCACCTCTCACTGACCACCTCCTCCCCAGAAGTCTTTTTTTGGTTTTTCAACAGCGATTTATGCACCACCTCATAGGATCATAGGTCAAGAGCTGGAAGGGCCCTTAGGGCCTTCAAGTCCACCCCCTCCAGTGGTTTTCTCTTTTTTCTGGTGCTTAGATTGTCATCTTTGAGCAGGAGAACTTCCAGGGCCGATCCCATGAGCTGAGTGGGCCATGTTCCAACCTAAAGGAGACTGGAATGGAGAAGGCGGCCTCCATCCTTGTGCAGTCAGGACCGTAAGTGCCTTGTGGTCCAGCTAGCCATGGCATTGCTGGACCTAGTAAATGTCAGGGTCAGGCACCTAGCAAATGTCCACTATTTCTGGGGGAAGGGAAAGACAGAGCATGACCCTAAGCCCCTGGAAGTTTGGCCCAAAGGCCTGGTGTTGTAGAGAGATGAGCCTGGTCTATTTAATCCAGTTCAACAAACCCTTATCAAGCATGTACTCTGTTCATTGACCTGGGAATATAAAGAAATAGTTCCTACTTTCAGGGAGCTTGTGTTTTACTAAGTGGGGATAAAGAGACAATTATACAAAACCATAATAAAAATTATAATGTGATAAGAACATAAGAAAGGTCCAAGAGATCTGAAGACAATGAGGTCACAAGAAGGGTTCCCTGGGGGATGTAGCATCTTGGATGAAGGTTTCAGAGGAGATAGCATTCTGGCCCTGAGAAACATTGTATACAAAGGCGCAGAGGGGAGAAAGGGCTGAATGTGAGTAGTGCCTACAAAGGAAGGTGGAATTAGTGAAGGGGAATAGTAGATGAAAAAGTCAGAAAGGTGCGTGAGCTTCAGGTTACAGAGTCTTGAATGCCAGGCTAAGGAGAGAGAGAGAGAGAGAGAGGGAGGGAGGGAGAGAGACAGAGAGAGACAGACAGAGACAGAGACACAGAGACAAACATAGAGATGGAGAGAGAGACAGAGAGACAAAAAGAGAGACAGACAGACCCACGCACACACAGAAAGAGATGATAAGGAGATAGATGCTAGATAGGTAGATGGATAGATGCTAGATTAATTGATAGATGGATAGATAGATGACAGAGACTGTCTTAAGTGCTTATTATGTGCCAGGCACTGTGCATTTTTTTTTTTGGTAAGTTACTTTATTTCATAAGCAACAGGGAGCCATGGGCAGCTCTAGCATTCTCTGTCCTGTGTTCTCAGGTGTCTTCCAGCCCTGACATTCTCTAAATATGATTTTAAACTCCCTTCCAAACTCTCTGAATTTGTGTGCATTGGAAACTTCCGAAAGGAATGGCTTCATTCCTCCAAAAAGCTGTATTTTAACTCAAACTAAGGAAATCTTCAGCAAAAAAGACCTGGGCTGGCTCTCTGGTAGAAATTATTTGTCTAGGGCCCCCTGGGAGCATGGAGAAGCTCCCAAGGTCTTTTTGTTTGGTTCCAAGGTTTAAGGTTGAGATAAAGCAGCCTTGGAAGAAAAGAGAAGCATCTCTCTGGGTGGCAGACAGCTGGAATCCTCCTCTGGAATGTCAGAAAAGGATGATCAATGCTGTTCTGGCCCCGGAGATCTAAAGGAAGCCCCTTCCTTTTCCTTCCCAGGACATGGGCAAAAAAGTAGATGAGTGCTTGTGAGCCAAGCCAGCCCTCAAACGTTAATAACTCATGACCAGCCCCTGAAGGCCCTGGCTTGGCCTCTTAGCACCAGGCCCTCCAAGATGACAGGAAGCTCACTCTTTCCCAGGGCCTGGATGCAGGTGTCGCTGTGGCGCTGCTATTTATAGTGTGGTCAGTATTGAATGACAGAAGCTCACTGTGGTGCCTGTTAACACCTTTTTTTAGCTAGAAAATAACCCATGGAAAATTTATGGTTCTTTCTTCTCCCTCCCCCTCCACTCTCCCAATCCCAACCCCGACCCACCTAAGTTGGCCTCCTCTCTTTTCTGCAGAAGTGAGCTCGACTTTAAAGCCTATGCTTTCCTCCCCCAGGTTGGGGATGACAGAACTTGTTTGATTCAAGCATCCTGGCAGGGCCTTAATCAACTAGGCAGCGGGTGCTGGATCGGCCTTACTAGGCCTAGAGAAACCCGGTTCTCTGACTCTCTAGTTTAAAAGATATGGCTAGCTCGCATTTCTTTAGGTGGTGCAGTGGATAGAACCCTGGCATACAGTCAGGAAGATCTCAGTTCAAACCATGCCTCAGACATTTGCTATAGCAGTGAGACCCTGGGCCAGGGGCTTGAACTTTTGTCTGCCTCAGTTTACTCATCCATAAAATAGGGATAATAATAGCGTTTACCTTTCAGGGTGGTCATACTCGTTGTAAAAGAACTTAAAAATGCTACTATACAGATGCTAGCTAAAATTATTAAATGGTAGGACCGAATTGAACCTAGCTTCTTTGACTCCAAATCTAGAATTTTTTTCTACATGGCCCACACCCCTCATTTTTACAAGAGTCCATTGATTTTATCAAGGGAGATTGTGGCATCTCTTCCTTTGTAGATTTTTAGGCAGTAATAGACTAATTTAATGCTTCACGTTCTTTCCAGGCCTCAAGTTTTCTGGTTCGGTGCCTAAGCTCATCTTCAATCTTTATCACTTGCATCAATTATTTAATCATTAATTGCCAGCAGGAAGGGGCCTTGGAGGTGATGTACTCCAACCCTTCATTTGACAGATGAGGAAACTGAGGCTCCACAAGTTTCAGTGACTCACCAAAGATAATGCAGATGGCAAAGCTGGGATTACCAAATCTGCTTTCAGCCCTGCTTTCCAAGGGCTATTAACTATGGAATTTCCTTTGGCAAATTAGAGACAGCAGTCCTGGAATTCAAAGAGCAGAGTGGAGGGTCTTACGTCAAAAAGACAACATAGTAGGTCCTTAAAGGAAGCTTATTGATTGATTGCTATGAGATTGGCAGTCCCAGACTCCGAAGGTTATCCCAAGCTGACCTTGGTTAAGAGCAGAGATCCCAAAGCTAGGATGTCGGAAGTGGATTCGCAGCTCCTCCAGTGACTACAAGGAAACACAAGACAGAGAGTGGACTAGTGGGGGCCCTCCAGCATTCCCCAAATCAGTCGATCCCTAGCGCCAAGTTGGAATTGGGCTGAGCTGAGCTTTCCTGGCAGGGAGAACCATAGCCTGGTGCTTGGGTCTTCTCCGGACATTCAGTAGAGGGACCTAGGAAGCATCATGGCCTGTATGAGGATTTTTTTAGGAAAAAGCTGGTGGGGAGGGTGTTGATGTGGGACTGGCGTGAGGGCCTCTAAGGAGAGAGGCTGCACCGCTGTGGTTTCTCTATCTGTGTTAACTCTGTCTGTCTGTCTGTCTGTGGCAGCTGGGTCGGGTATGAACAGGCCAACTGCAAAGGAGAGCAGTTTGTGTTTGAGAAAGGTGAGTACCCTCGCTGGGACTCTTGGACCAACAGCCGCCGGACTGATGCGCTCAGCTCGCTGAGGCCCATCAAAGTGGTGAGTCTTTCGTCCCCTTTCTGCCCCACTAATCTCCTCCTTCAAGGCCCAGGACCCCGGGAAGCAGAGATGAGCCAATGACCCTTCTGACCCTGGGTAGAAGACATTTGCGTTCAGTTTCCCACATGCTCCTGGTGTTTCTTTGCCCTTAATTCTGCTCTGTTAATTATTTCCCATTTATCCTATACTGTATATAGTTTGTTTGCAGGTTCTCTCTCCCACCTCCCCAATTAGATTGAAAGCTCCTTGAGGGCTGGGATTGCCTTTATCCTCTCCTTGTATCCCTAGCACTTAACACAGTGCCTGGCACATAGTAGGCACTTAATAAATGTTTATTGATTGATTCCCGAAGGCTCTGAGAGATCTTAGATCCTAGCTCCCCGTAACCCTCCTCTTGCTGTATCCCAAGAATCAGGAAGACACCTCATGCTGTCTATGTCATTACCTGATGTAATCTTTCGGTTCTGTACATCATGACCTAAGGGCCCTGTTCTCCCCAGATCTTCCGCTTTTTTGGTGAACCTTGAACAAATCACTTTCTCTCTCTGAGTCTCAGCTTCTTCAGGTGCGAAAGAAAAGGGTTTGACTAGGTAGCAGGTTCTTAATGTTTTTGTATCATAGAAGCCTTTGCCAAGTTGGGGAAGTCAGGGGACTCTTTCTCAGAGTAGCATTGAAAAAAATTGTAATTGAAAAAAACGCTAAATTTCCATTAAGGAACAGAAAACAAATATCACTTTTCCCCATCTAAATTCATGGACCCCCTGAAATCTATCTATGGACCCCAGGTTAAGAGTCCCTGGCCTTGATGATCTCGGGGCACTTTCTCACTCTGAATCTCAATTCTGTGTTCCTCTCTCACAGGACAGCCAGGAGCACAAAATCATCCTTTATGAAAATCCTAACTTCACTGGGAAGAAGATTGAGATCATTGATGACGATGTGCCCAGTTTCCATGCCCATGGCTACCAGGAGAAAGTATCATCTGTGAGGGTACAGAGTGGAACGTGAGTAGTGTCCAGGAGTGGGCATCACTGTGGTGGATGGCAGACACTGGTGTTCCACCACTTAGCAGCTATGTGACTTTGGACAAATGCCTTTGCCCTTCTGTGGATCAGTCTTCCCATCTGTAAAATGGAAATAATAACCTCTGCCTTATCTACCTTAGTCAGGCAAAAGACATTATAAAGCTCCTACTCTGTGACAGGAGACACATGCAGATGACTGTACAAATAAGTTATAGACAGGATTGATAATTGCAGGAGATAATCACAGAGGGAAGGCATTAGACTTAAGGGGGATTGGGAGTGATCAGGCAGATATAGCTGGCATGTAAGGGGGATTGGGAAAGATGTCTTCACAGAGTGATAGGGAAGATATAAAGGACATGTAAATGCTCAAAGGTGTCCCAGACTGCCATTCCTTTAGTCTTTTTCCCTGGGCTCCAGGCCACCTTTGGGAGGTCCAGAAGGAATCTCCATGCAGCTCAGGTGAGGTGATACTCTCAAATCTGACAAGGCTGACCCATGCTATCATTCTCTCTCTCTCTGTCTCTGCCTTTCACAGGTGGGTGGGCTACCAGTATCCAGGTTATCGAGGCTTCCAGTACCTATTTGAGAAGGGGGAATACAAGGACAGCAGCGATTTTGGGGCTCCCCACCCCCAAGTTCAGTCTGTAAGGCGCATACGGGATATGCAGTGGCATCAGCGAGGTGCCTTTCACCCTACCAACTAGATCCCCATCACCCCAGCACCACCATCATGCAGGGATGAGGACCCATGCTCCTCTCATCACTCCCAGTCCAGGCCACCCTACTGTCCAAGCAAGTTAATAAAGTGTGAACGGCAAAGCGGTTTTCTGCTTCTTCTTTGTTCTTTCTTAGTAATGAACGTGGGGAAATGCCTAATTTATGTGACCAGGCTCTGGGCTGGAAGTCAGGAGAGACCTGAATTCTTTTAGGCTCAGATTTGCCAATTAAGGGATAAACTGTCTATTTGGCCTGGAGGGAGAGGCTTAACTCTCTGATTTCCAATCACCTGTCAGATGGGAAAAATGGTACTTTCCTTGTCTACTTGACCTGAGGTGGATTGATTTCCTGGGGAGCTGAGGACCTGGGCTGGCCTCACAAGATGGTGGCTACCTCTGTATGATCTGAAGGGCCATTAGGCAGAACCCTTTACCTAAAAATAGCATTCCACCATTAGAGCTTTGGGCACTAATGTCTTTTCAAAGTTTAAGAACTTCTCAGTGAGTGGGAGAGGAGTTGGCAAGGGGAAGGAGAATTTGAAACTCAAAATTTTAAAAAAGAAGAAAGTTATACATAAATAAATAACAAATAAAAAAACTAAAGTTGATGAACAATATTAGCCGAAACCCCAGGGTCTCTGGACAGCTATTTTGTGAGTAGTGGGCTCTCTGGATTTGGCTAAAAGTCCAGGTTCTTTAGTTCTTTCATCTCACTTAGCAACAGGACTCTTTTTCTGTTGTGTTTCCCAGGCTGACCACAGTGTGTCAGCACAGCTTCGGGCACCACCGCTCTTGATCCCTATCAAAGCACCTAATGGCCTTCTTGCCTTTGAACTCTTTATTTATTATTTGGCTACCCTGATCCAAGAGAGTCACAAACTGTACTCTTTCTTTATCCTGAAAACCAGCTGCCTGATTAGCTGATCAAAGATGTCAGGCTGAAGTTGGGATGTCGTAGATTGTAAGAGATGGCAGAAAACTTCAGATGTTGTAGAACATAGAACGTCAGAACTGGCAGAGGTCTCAGAAGGCAGAGTGCCAGCATTGAGAGGGCTCTTAGAACACAGAACACAGAATAGCAAAAACCAGAGAGACCATAGTTGTTAGAGCTGGAAGGGTCTCCTTCATTGCATGATTAAAAAAAAAAAAGGGAGGGGCAGCTAGGTGTTGCAGTGGATTGAGCACTGGCCCTGGATTCGGGAGGACCTGAGTACAAATCCGGCCTCAGACACATAACACTTACTAGCTGTGTGACCCTGGGCAAGTCACTTAACCTCATTGTCTAGGTTAAAAAAAAAAAAGGAGGTCTACCAGCCCTGACACTGCATGACCTTGGGAATTTAGCTCAGCCTCAGTTTCTTCACTATGAAATGGGATTAGTCATACTTGAACTTTCACATCGGGTTATTGTAAGGAAAGCTAGGTAGCTTGGTGGACAGAGCCCTGGACCTGTAGTTAGAAAGACCTGAATTCAGTTGTAGCCTTGGATACTTAATTGCTCTGAGACCTCGGGCAAATCACTTAACCGTTTGTAGCCTCAGTTTCCCCATCTGTAAAACGGAAATAATAATAGTAGCTCCTTCCTTAGGGTTGTCATGAGGATAGACTGAGATGATATTTACAAAGTGTGTTCTGAACCTTAATGGGCTATATTTAATCATAATCAATAAATATGCTAATGATGATGATGAAAAGGCTAGGGAAATGTGAGATATCGTTATTACTGGAGGGGCCAAGTGTTTTGCCCAATATCTCATAGCTAGGGCAGAGCTGACACTGGAAGCCAGGTTTTCTGATTCTAAGCATCCTTTTCATTGTCCCTGATGCCCCTTTGTTCCTCTGGGTGAGGCACCGTCCTTTTTTTTTTTTTTAAGGAAGAGGATCCTTGGCACTCAGTCTGGAAGATCTTAGTGACTTCATAACATTCCTTTCCTCCATGCCAGCTGAAGCCCGAGGCCTGGAGGGACTAGAGAGAGAAGTGGGTGGGAAAGGTCTATAAGAAGAGATGGGGGCATTGAAGATGGAAATTGGACAAGTGCAGTTTTCCCCTGCCTCTTACTTCCCAGGGAGGAAAGCTGGGACTGTGGTCCCTCGCCTGCAGATATCCAAGAGATATTCCCTTTGTCAATTGCCAAATGCCCATCCCTGAGGTGCCCTGGGATAGATGCCATATAACTGCACCAGTGTTGAGACCTCTGCTCTCTGCCCTCCCCCAGGACTTAGGGCTGGGTTCTCTGTGGGGTGGCTCTATTATATAAGAGACCCCCTTGGCACCGTGCTGCCTTCTCATTCCTTGACGTTATTTCACATCATTTCACGCTCTGCGCAGATGCTTCTTCACATGGCATCATTATCTGGGTTTCACAGGACTGAAAACAGCATTGTGTGTGCCAAAGCTGGGACTTCCTGACCTTGGCCCTTGCCAGATTTCTGTTTGTCATCTGAGGGATGCTTGAAGGGAGGGAGGGAGATGGAGAAAGAGGAGAAATGAGTGAGAAAATGGGGGAGAGAGAGATTAGATGGTGGAGAAATGGGGAAAAGATGGCAGGGAGAGGGAAAGAGCAAAATAGAGAGTGGGGAGGGAGTGAGGGAGAGAGACACAGGGAGACAGAGAGAGAGAGACACACACACACACACACAGAGACAGACAGAGAGACAGAGACAGAGACAGAGAGAGAGCAGGGAGGGTGAGTTTAGCTGGTGGAGGAAGGGAGGAAAGGTGGAGGGCAGAGGGCGAGACAGCCAAGTAGAGAGTGGGAAGAAAGAAGAAAGGAGGGAGAGAAAAGGAGAGATTAGTTGGTGGGAAAGGGGAGAAGAAACAGGGAAGAGTGAGATGGGAGTAGGCAGAGATGCCAGCTGCAGGGGAGAGGGAGAGGAGAGGCATAGACAGAGGAGAGAGCCTGGGTTGAATTGAATGGCCGTATCTAAAGTCCTGTCTTCCTAGGCCGGACACTGGGAGCAGGGAGAAGTGCTCTGTGGTGCTGGTGGCAGGGGGCAAGGCGGATGGGGAGGTGGGGGGCAGATAGGAAAACCTAAGGGCAGCTGCTTTGAGCCGTAGGCTTTGGAAGGAAGGCATTCTCTGCAGTCTTCCCAGAGAGTCATCAGGAATCGGGGGCAGGAAACCTTGGCAAGGCTCTCCCTGCTGAATCTCTGCAGTCCTGGCCAGCTTCCTGCTGGGGGCCTTCCACACTGAGGAGTCATCCCCACCCTCACTCTCACCCCTCTCCTGCAGCTCTGGCTGGGGCATCGAGCCTTGAATCCAACAGGGAAAAGCTGGCTCTGGGCCTGAGCATGAGGCTCGAGGGAGGAAGGTGCCTTTTGACACCAAATGGTGCTTGGGTGGGGGGGGGGAAGCATTGCTCCCCTAAAGCATTTCATTGCATTAGTAAAATGCTTTATCCTTTTCTACTTTCCCATCCGTAGTCTCACCGGAGCCTCACATTAGCTCTGGGAGGTAGATAGAGTAGGAATCCTTAGGAGCAAATTGAAGCCCAGAGGTAAAAGGAATTGCCCCAGGTGAGATAAGATTAGAATCCTAGTGGGCTGGGCGTTGGAGGGTGGAGGGGGTCTTTGCCTTCACCGTGACTGAACTAGGTAGGATGCTCCAGCCAGGATCCAACTGTTAAATCATCAGTGGGAGCGTTCACACCCAGGAAATCTGCAAAGGCTGCGGATCAGAGCTTGGCTTATTATTTTGCGGATTGTCAAGATTGCTGAGAAAGAGATGGAGAAAATGTTAGGGATGCAGATTAAACTCTAACGTGTGTCCTGAGGACAATTTTGGAGAGCTGGTTGGCGAGCCATGGCTGACTGCGGCTCTGTTCGGTCAGAGTGCTGATCCATCCTGAACCTCGAGCCAGGTTCATTTTTCTAATGCAATGTTTTTGTCCTCGCTACTCTCCAGCTCAAAGACCTTCAATGACTCTTTAGTGCCCGCTGAATAAAATCCAGATTTCTTAGGTTAGCATAGCCCTCTGTTGTTTAGTCACAATTTGGTGCCATGAAAAGAAGCCTGGATTAATAACAACAACCATAAACATTCTTATAGTGTTTACTTCTTTCACAGCAGTTTAGGTTCTGTTACTACCTGTGTGACCTTGGTCAACTCATTTCACTACTATTACTTCTCTAGTACATTTGATCCTAGGATCTTTAGTGTTGAGGATTTTTGTATGTTAGGATTTAGGATCTTAGTATTTGGACCTAATAATAATGATATTTGGGTTAGGACTAACCCTAATAGTAATAACAATCGCATTTATATAGAGCCTACTAGGCACCAGGAACCAAGCAAAGCACTTTACAAATATTATCTAATTGGTCCTCACAACAACCCTAGGAGGTTGGTGCTACTATTGTCTTCATTTTACAGTTGAGGAAACTGAGGCAAACAGAGGTTAAGTGTTAAGTGTTCTAGGGTCCTACAGTGTCTGAGGCATGATCTGAGCTCAGATCTTCCTGGGACTCCAAGCCCAGCACTCCACCCACTAGGATACTTGGTTGCCTCAAAGCAGCTTAATGATCTTAATTGTTATCTTATCCACTTTATAAAGGAGGGAATTGAGTCCTAGGGGAGAGGAAATGATCCAAGGCCATGCGGCTAATAAAGAAGCAGCAGAACCCAGATTCAAACTGGGATTTTCTCACTCTGGGTCTTGTCCTCTTTCTGTTACAACAGTGCAAAAGTGAACAGCGTGTGGCTCAGTTCTCCAACTGCAAAGTACAGAAATTGGATGATTTTTGTTTTTGTGTTTGTGTGTGTGTGTGTGTGTGTGTGTGTGTGTGTGTGTGTGTGTGTTTTAAGGCAATGGGTTAAGCGACTTGTCCAGGGTCACACAGCTTGTAAGTGTCAAGTGTCTGAGGCCGGATTTGAACTCAGGGCCTCCTGAATTCAGCGTGGGTACTCTATCCACCGATCCACCTAGCTGCCCCCTGGATGATTTTTAATAAGAGTAATAGCTCGTTTTAATAGTGTTTTATGAGCACTCATTCATTCCTCTCTGTGCTCCGCTCCTGACTTTTGTTTCCATTACGTCACTGCAGCCCCCCCTGG